AAAAGATTATGAGTAGTCTAACGTTTTTTTGTTTCTTCTAATAAGTTCACATCAACTTTCTTACAATTGTTATATACTAATAAATGTAAAATAAAAAGAAAACCAGCTTAAAACATCATTGAAATTTGAGGGAAAAGAATAAATTATAATCGAATAGAACTATAGAACTTGTCTGTAAAATAAATTTTGTTGAAATTGTCCAAAATGGCTTCAGTTGGTAGGAGATTTTGGGGTAGAGAAATGCTAATGGATATTTTGACTCGAAAGCAACAAAAAATGGGGCTATATTTCATTCTAAGTTAAGAAAATACTAACTATGCTTACTTTATTATTTTGTTTTTTTTTTTTTTTTTTTTTTTTTTTTTAAATTAAAAGTTGTTTGGCTGCAAATATTTCAAATATATGCCTTTTAAATATGTAAATTTTCCAAATAAGGGGCATTTATATTCATACCACTTGATTCCCATGTATTAACTTATTCAACACCTGAACTTTATTTGTTACATTTATACTATTTTAAGTTTGTAGCACCCAAATCTTTCATATCACATCAAATCATCAACACAACAACAACAACAACAACAACAACAAGTCTTTATCCGACTAAGTGGGGCCGGTTACATGAATCCTATTTCTCCATTATGTCATATAGAGTGTCATACTTTCATTGTCATACTTTCATTTAATCGTAACATATTAAGCTCATTTTTTTACAATATGCACAAGTCCTCCTAGGTCTACTTTGCCTTTCTTAACATAAGTCGAGTGTCATACTTTCATTTAATTGTAACATATTAAGCTCATTTTTTTTACAATATGCACAAGTCCTTCTAGGTCTACTTTGTCTTTCTTAACATAAGTCGAATCTAAAACATCTACTCTTTTAACTGGATCATCAAATAGTCGTGGTTTAACGTTACCAAACCATTTAAGACAACTCTCTACACCAACCCTATCACGAATATATTTATTTGGTATTTTGTCTCTATGTGTCAAGCCACTCATCCACCTAAGCATTCTCATCTCGACAAAACATAAAATTGTTTTATGTTTCTCTTTTAAAGGCCAACATTTTGCGCTATAGAGCATTGTAGGTCTCACCACCATCTTGTAAATTGTAAAATTTTTCTTTCGGTGTAAGCAATACTTTCTATCACACAATATTCATCCACTTAAACCAACAAACTTGAATTCTATTAATAACATCCCCATCTATATCCCCATCACTATGAACAATAGACCTTAGTTACAACTCTTTCACTAGAACTACTATTACTAAAATAACATTCCATGTATTTGATTTTAGTTCTACTAAAACAAGGGTTTTTAGAATCCAATGTAAACCTTCATAATTCAAATTTTCCCTAAATTCTTTCTCTTCCCTAAATTCTTTCTCTAGTTTTCCCTAAATTCTTTCTCTAGTCTTATCTACAAGAAGGATATCATCAGCGAAAAGTATACATCAAGGTATATTCTCCTGTAAATATCCAGTAAAAACATCCATAACTAAAGCAAAAGGACATGGGCTTAAACCCGATCCCAGATGTAATCCAAATAAAATAGGAAAATATTTGGTCAATCCTCCTCCTCGAACACAACTAACAGCTCTAGTATGCATATCTTTAATGACTTGAATATAATCCCTATCAACACCCTTCTTCTCTAGAACTCTCCAAAGAATTTCTCTTAGAACATTATCATAAGCTTTTTCTAAATCAATAAAAATCATATGTTTCCCTTTGTACTTCTCCATCAAACCTCTCAATAAATGTAAAAGTTTCATAGTAGACTTGTTCTGCATAAATCCAAACTGATTATGAAAAATCTTTGTAACACATTTTAACCTAAGTTCAATTACCCTCCCTCATAATCATAAATTATAATATATCAACTCAATTACTCTAACATTTATACACTCTTGTGCATCCTCTTTATTCTTAAAAATGGGATCAAAATACTCTTCCTCAACTCCTCAAGCATTTTTTTAGTTTATAAAAAAAATATTAAAGAATTTAGTAAGCCAAGAAACTCCCAAATCTCCTAAATATCTCCATATTTCAATTGGGATATGATTAAGTCCTACTGATTTTTCACCATCGATTTTCATTAAAGCATGCTCAACTTCTTTTTTACTAATGTGATGATAAAAATAAAATATTTTTTTATTATTAATGACATTATGATCACTAAAGGTCAATCGTGTTTTCGGAAACTTTATTGAAAAATTTATCAAAATAGCTCACCTAACTATGTTGAATATCTTTAAAAAAAAACGCTTTTTGATTTTAAATTTTAATACACTTAAGTTAAATATTTACTTTTCTTTTTCTCTTTGTTTGACTAGTTTATACATGTATTTTTCACTTTCTTTAGTATCTAATCTATTATAAATATCACTAATATCAGAATTTTTAGCGTCACAAATTATTCTCTTAAACTCCCTATGGGCACCTTATATTTTTACCATTTCTCTAAACTTTTACAATTAAACAATTTTTTATAACAAAACTTCTTATATTTTATTTTTTCTTGCACATTATTATTCCACCACCAACTACTTTTATTTATAGAAAGTTTTCTTTTTGATATTTCAAGTATATTTTTTGTCACTTCTTTAATAGTGTGTTACTTTATCCCACATATAATTTAACTCTTTATGGAGATCCCAAATTTTCAAATCATAAAAGTTTACTTGTAAAATAATTTTAATTGTGTTTTTTAGGTATCATCATCTAATTCTATCACAATAATTCATAGTATTTTTTATCTTGTAAATCTTCAACTCTTTATCCTTCAAAGAATTTGCTTCTTCATAAACGTCCAAAAATTTGAAATTTTAATATTTACTTATAAAAATAATTTTATTTGTATTTTTTGGGTGTCCCATCTAATTCTATCACAATGATTTCTAATATTTTTTATCTTACAACTCTTCATCATAAAATTCAAAACTAATAATCAATGTTAAGTACTAAAATTCTCAGTTAGAATGATCTTTTAATCTTTACATTCTTGACGATCTCTTCTTCAAATAAGAAAATAATCAATTTGTATTTTATTAGATCCATTCTTATAAGTAATAATACACTCATTTCTTTTCTTAAATAAAATATTAACAATAAAAAAAGCATATGCTAAAACAAAATTTAATACGACTCTACCTTTTTCACTAATCACTTCAAAATCGTTGCCACTATGAATATTCCCAAATTTTTTTATCACTCTACCAATATCTCCATTTAAACCTCCTCCAATAAAAATTATTTCTTCAAGATATATCATTTGTATTAATTCTTCTAAATCATTTCAGAAATTTCCTTTGAAATATATATCTAAACCTTCTTAAGAAGCATAAACACTTATAATATTAAAAATCTTAGTATCAACAACAATCTTAAGTGTTATAAAATTATCTACAATTATATTAATTTTTACAATATTATCTTTCAAACTCTTATATATAATTACACATACAACAATACAACATTACTAATGCGACTCTCATCTGAATACTAAAGTTTAAAACTAAAGTTATCACTCTCCTTAGTTTTTTCTCTAACCCCTTTAGTTCCTTGAATACATAAAATAATTATCTTTCTATAGACTATTATATAAATGAATTTCATTAATTTACCTGTGAAAGTACCTATATTCCAAAATCATATTCTAACATTAATCTCATGGACCAATTTCTTTATCAGTATCTGTCTATAATGTGAGAACTCTTGTTTAATTAACACTACACTGAGCTCAGGTGTAGCAATCCTTGCACATTTTTCACTGTATTCAAGTCATACAGCACGTTGCTTTCAGGGATATCCTAGCATTTACACAATAATCTGAAAGATTCATGTCATGATTTTTCAACAAATTTTACGTTGACTGTCTACTCTCTAATGCAATATTCCAATTTTCACATCTGTGGTTTGGGACCTGGCAATGACAGTGTTATCACATCTAATTATCACTAAGGCAATAAAATGGAGCCTTTGTGCTCGTAAAAAAATATATATCACTAAGGTAAGAAAAAAAATCTATCGATACGAGAAAATTTAAAATCTCAATAAATTATATTTGGCAGAATTTAAGCAAAATATTTCGTAAATCATGCTAAAATAGAGTACGAACATATCCCATTATAAAAGAGTCAAGCTTGAGTCATGTTCTAGTGATTTAAACTTAGATATAAATTTATATAATATTTTATTATATAAATAAAATATATAATTTTTTCTTATTTCCAGCTAAAATGAGTCGAACATATTCGAACAACGAGTTGTTCGTGTTCAACTCATTTAAAATTCGAGCTCAAGAAATTTCTTCGTGTTTGGTTCACTTAACGAACGATTTAAACAAAAGTTACTTAACGAGCCGACGAGCAGTTAGCGAACAAAAAACTTTTTTGTCAGGAGCCCTAATCCTAAATCTTCAAAATAATAATCAAATCAGTATCAGCATGTCATATTTGTAGACTATAAAAATTCTTCTATACAAAATATGAAGCATATTTCCTTTCAACTTACAGCAGCAAAAATGGATATCAAATTTCATATTTTTCGAGCCAAATTCAATGCCAGCTCAAAATCGTCCCATGGCTCAAATTCATTTTATTTAAAACCAGCTCGGCTCCAATCAACTATTTATTATTTATTTTTTAGATGTATAAAACATGTAAATATGTAGTATTTATATGCTGATTTTGATCTGGTTGGATCGGATCCAGCAAATCGAAATTGGCTAGATTATCGTACTGCGCTTAAAATTTAGCTCGAGACTCGACTTGTTTGGTCTATCCAAACTCTAACATAGTCAAAAAATCGATTCAATTTTGAGCAAAAATCTCAGCCCAATTATAACATATTCGCTGAACCTGTAGCAATCAGCCTTACCAAAAATTCAAACAATCAATCATAACAGAAAATCAACACAGGCCGAATTGGATTGCTCCAGGAATTAGATTGCTATTGAATTCTTCTGGAGCAATTGATGGGACAGTTACCTCCTGCTACACTGTTTCTAACAACCAGTCAAATCTTATTTCAGGATAATAAATGGGTTTTGTACAGGTACAGAATCACTCTACTTTCATTTAAACAAACCATTTAAAAATCTCTACGGAACAGATCTTAGCCCTCCTTAATCCATCACCTAAAAGCCCTAAAAATTCTTTATACTTTGTAGATAAAGGATCAAAGATCATAATCGTACTCCACCATCTAATATCATACATCACTCATCAACATCACAATATCCACCCTCGCGCTTCAAATATCACCGATCAGGCAAGAAAAAGCGAAAAATCAAAGATCCTATAAAAACGAAGCAGGTTCACATCTACCGAAGGGCAATAACAGGATCAGATCAAACTTATCATGTACAGTGCGGAACAGTAAACGCCGGCGCCGGTTCGTAGTAGAAGGGCTCCGCCGGATGCCGCCACCGCCCGGCCACTCCCCTTCCTTCGCTCCCACCGGATGATGCTTCTTCCTCTTTTCCAGCCTTAACGGCGAGCTCGTTTCCCCGGAGATCTTCTGTTAGGGGGATAGAAACGATATCAAGCGGAGAAAGAAGGGGGATGGCGACCTTCCATTCGGCCACGCTGCCTGATGTGGGAACCACCTGAATCGACGAAGGGGCGTGCATTCGCAGCCTGCTTTGATTTCGGCCTATCTTACCATCGCCGGCAACTTCCATCGACTTCGCCATCGACATCGCCGAAACCCTAGTCGGGAGAAGTTCTCCAGAAAGCCCTCAATGATTGATAAAAGTGGGTTAGTCAAACGAAGGCCGTGCATATCTTAATATAAAGCAAGATGTAGAATATGGCGCGCATGTGGGGAGCACGTGGGATTGATGAGTAATCAATCATATATAATTTTTAAGCGGTAACTAAATACAGCTCACCTGAAATTTTGATATTTATTTATAAATAATAATTTAGTCGATTTTTCAATAATAAAATCCATGTATTTGTACTACGATCAAAATTACGGAGGATTTGATAAAACTAAAAATTATGGATTAAATTTTTATGATGAATTTTGATATTTATGTGATAATTTGAAAAATGAATCAAAGATCGTGGTTGATCTATAAATAAAAAATTTCGACGGGTCAATATGTAATTGCCCAAATTTTTAAATGAATTATTGGTCTTATAAAATAATTTACTTTTAACTGCCGGGAGAATGCTTGTAGTCAGAGTAAATGTCAAAATAGTTCTGATTATTTGTAGGAAGTCGTTTTTGACCTAGAGATAGCTTATGCGGGCTTGGAGGAAAATAATCCCATGACAGATCGAACTCTGTTCTCTCCATCAAAAGTTTATTGGCACAAACTCGTGCGAACGGATCAACTGGCATTTTTCAACCAAGTTGGGCAAACGATGTGAACCGCCCTGATCTAAAGCAGCATGACTGGCTAAATTAAAAATAGGGGTACTGCATACACAACACATAATTCTTATTTATTTTACATTTAACATCTAAATTTTCCTATTTACATATATAACAATCGAATCCTAAACAGCATAAAAATAAATATGTATTTTCATGCGTAAATTTATAAAATCAAAATATTATAAATGTAAATATCAAATTCATGATAAGTTATACATCTGTGTTTTAGATTATTTTGCAGGACTTAAATTTTATTGAAGAGGAACAAATACTAAAGAGCTTATCTTATCATGTACTCTCTTATGCTATCATTCATCTCAAGTTCATCTTAATATGTACTATTAGTTGGTCTTCTAATGCATACAGCTACCCCAAATTACCTTTTTTTTTTAATTCTAAAAAAAATAAATGCAATTTTAATTTGATTTATTAAGAGATGTCAAGGTCGATTAATATTATCTTATCATCGACACCAATGACACTAGTTGACCTCGTAGCCCATCATTATCGACTAAGTCGATGCAAACTTATTGTTACGACCAAAATATGTTAGTCGCACTAAAGATTACAATCATTTTGTTGGTCTATTAAATCCTCTCCATGAAGAAGAGTGAACCGAACATGATGCAAATGTTCTCTTGAAGATATCGTTGATGCCTCTGAATTCTTCTTTTTCACGGAATCAATTCTACTGTAATGCACGTCTATCATAATGCGCGTATAATTTTCTCCATTATGTATAAAGAGATCATTTGTAACATATGACAACAATTGTAGAGTCGTTTCAATGGGGACGGGCTTCATAATTTCTTTTTTTTTTTCAACTTCTAACACAACAACTTTTAGAGTCTTGGATGAAACTCTTTTTTTACTTGTACATGTGCTGAAGATGTTTATCTCTCACCCTATTATCATACATTTTCTTGCATGTGATGATTGTAAATCTATTGTAAATAGTTTTTATGGAGTGTGCATTGATTTTGTTGAAGTATATAGTTTTTTTCTTATAAATGTTTTAATCTTATAAACATAGCCATATGTTTTTTAAAGTCAATTGTACACATTTTACGTGAGTTTACTTTGTGTTGCATTATGTTGTTGTTGAATCTCAAATCATCTTTTGTGAACACATGCTCGAAGATTTAGAGCTGAGCGAAGGAGAACGAGAGAGAGAGAGAGAGAGCAGTGCAGACGTAATTCTATGCATAGGAGTCGGAGGAAGAAGTCATTTTATTCACTGGTAGGCTTTCTATTTATAAGAGTCTGCTTACATTGTTATGAAAAGAATGGATGAATATGGAAATTGATTTTAATACAAATTATGTGCTAATTAATATTAGATTTACATTAAAATTAGAATGTGGTACGGCAACAATTGACAGATCGACGTGCTGCGGCTCGATTGGCTGAAACGATCGAATGCATGATGGTCGCTGTCGGCCGCTTTAGCCGTGGTAGATCGGTCGGCTAGAAACAGTCGGTCGGCCTTTTAGGAAGCCTCAATAGTGGCAACAGTAAAAAAGTTCGTCGGTACCTGCTCAAATCAAGCTCATTGAATTCAATGCTTTCATTTTTGGGTCATCATTCTTAGTCGTATGATCTCTTGTGATTTGTGCTGACAATTTTGGTGTATATAATTGTTAATTATATAATAAAAAATTTTATTCTTGACAAATCATGAATATTATGGGGACCTGTTGTAATTATTATTAATGTTAGTTCTCAAATGAATAAATTAAAGTTCTCAAATGATCTAGTGAATTGGGGTGTAAAATATTGACTCAGTCCCGACTCAGAAAATATGGTTTGTATTGACCCAAATAATTTTTGGGTTGGTTTTGGGTTAAAAATCCTAACTCGTCTAATAGTTCAAGTCACGTTCAGATCGACCCACAACTCAGAATTAACTTAAAATCGACCCACAACTCAGAATTGATCCGAAACTAACCTAATTTTAGCCAAAACAATTGTTATTCTTTATGTTCAATGGGTTATATGAGTCGAGTTCGAGTTAGCAAGTTGAAGATGCGTCAGGTTTGTGTTGGGATTTTTAACATGCATAATATTCGGGTCAGTTAAAAAAATTAATATATCAATTACATTTATATAACATGCACACAACATTTAATCCACATCGCAACAAAATTCTATCCAATCATATCACAGATCAAAGCTATGAAAAATATAATTTATGAAAAAGGAGATATTGTCACAAATTTAAATTATGAGAAATTTACAATTGTCATCGTTACTGTTCGCTTGCCTCGATGATCTTCCATAATCTATGTCAGGTGTACTATACTCCACACAATTCTCTGTTGGCATTCACACATATGAGGAACCTCCTCATTCATAGCAGGGAATTGCCTGGCAAGCTCCGCAGTATTTGCGTGTGATGAGCACGTGCTACCGATAGAAGCACAATATATCTCATCGTTCTTTTTCCCCATCGTCAACATTCATAGCTCAAACTTAGACTGCGCAGCAGTAGGTTGGCTACCACTATTGCTGGCAGTGCTTGGGGGCTGAGAGGCCAACTGCCTCTCTCGAAGCTACTCGTACTCCTCCTACATAATAAAATCCAATTAATAATTATCGTTTTAAACATTAAGAGTCAAAATAAATATGAAAAAATCAATTTTTTACTTGCATTCACCCGCTGGGCTGGTGGTCGAATCTATGCAAGAGAAAGGTGTGGCAACAACAACAGGTGGGAAAGCAATAACTAGTGTGTAAGGTATGCTTTTCTTCCTGCTCTTGTAAGTATTCACTGTAGTGTGAAGAACATGCGATCACTAATGTGGCTGATCACTAGCATCACCCGTGGCCATATGTAGCAGGATTACAAACAAAAATAATCAGGAGCAGTATACACAAGTAAAAAGAGGAATGTATAAAATCTAAACATGAGACATATCGTAACTACGATATGTCTAAAACAAAAACAAAAAACAGGACAAGTATGACATAGGTAGTAAAAGCAACAATCAATTTTTACATTTGATAAGTGTCACTAGCCCATAAGTATATTACAAAATGTTCAATATTTTTGTATAGTGTCAAACGAGTATATCACAAGGGTCATTTGGGGACTCATTGTTACCCGTGTTGATCATTGTTATAAGGGTCACTAATCTAACTATTGACTACGAGCCTAAATTTTGGATCAAAGTTTTTTAAGCCGATTTTGAGCCGACCCCAGCTTAACAGTCCTATATGCATACCTCTTTAAGAAAAAAACTTAGGTGTATTTACATGCATACCGCTCAATTTTCATGTATTTAAATATTTAATAACAAGACTTTTATATTTACTTATCTAACACTCAAAACTCTTAGCATCACACCACACATGATAATTATTAACTTTTTTAATATAATATGCACTTTTTTATATATATTTTTATTACACCAAAGCATCATAAATAAATATAGAATTTTGGGCGTTTGATATATAAATACAAAAGATTTGTGTGGCATGTATGTCAATTTCCCAAAAATATATTAATATACCATGTAATATCTTAGACTTATAGTGGTACAGTAATTTAATTTAGCCTGATTTTTTAACCTTTAATTTGTAACAATTATAATATTATAATTTCTAATTTTATTTTTCATATAATGCATAAATTTGTCTGATAATGTAAAAAAAAGCAGTCATCTTGCAATTTTCGATTACTTGCAAAGTTGACTTGTCGTGTCTTTGTCCTGGTGGGTTAAAATAAAATGAATTTCTGACTTCATATTATTATTGTTTGTTTAATTGTATATAATTAATATCTATTTAATTTTTAATAATAACACATTTATCCTATATTTTTTTTTATTTGTTATTACAAAATAATTTAAGAAATAAAACAATAATGAAAAATTAAAAAAAAATATTTTAACCAATATTTTTAAAACAAATAAATAAAATGATTATTTTAAGGAATATTTAATGATTTTCATTGTCCATTATCGAGCCAAACAGTCCGATATGCAATATTTAACATCAAACTCCCCGTTTACAACACAAAAATCATCGCTCCGTATTTTAATATACAATGAAAATTAACTAGCTATTATGGTAAAATTTAATGGCCCAATTTTTAAGGCCTCTTCCCTTTCATCTCTTAATATTTTATTTTATTTCTAATATCTGAAGTTTTATATATTTTAAACGGATTTTCATATTGATACATGCGTAAGATTCACGATAATGGAGTAATTATTTACTGTCATAATGTTGCATGAAAATCAAACACACTCAGGTAATTAAGATGATATGTAAAGATATCATGAGTTCTAACATAAAAAACCCTTAAAAAGGGAAAAAAAAACTACGGGGCTTAGCCCAGTTGAAATAGTCTATTGTACAATGGTG